TGTGAAAATGTCTACATCAAAGATTTGCAGGATTTTCTGTATTTGGATCTTTTTGTCCGGAGACATTCCTCCAGCATTCCACTGGAGGATCTGAAGACGTTGTGATTCGCCCTGACGAGGGCGATTTTCCTTATAGCCTTTTTTAAAGCTAATCATAATTAATCGAAGTCAAAAACGAATGCCGAGTGATAGACTTTTTCGCCGTAGAAAAATACGTTGTCCAGGGTACACCACGAGGAGGTAAGTCTATCGCGCACCCCGCATCAATGGGTGTTGATTTTATCCCTCAAGTAATTAGTCGTAATGCTTGGTTGTCTGCCTTCGTACGTACATAAAGCTCTGATTTAGCCGCTTTCCTAAAAGCTTCATGATTTGTATGTTTAGGAAGATGACCTTAAATGCCAAATTTAAAATTGTCTGAATAGCAATAGCAGTTATAGAGCTTCAAATTCCAAAAATTACAATTTTTTGCATTCGCATAATCTCACATTTCTAGGCTTTAAGCTCCATCGAGTAAACTTCATCATTCAATGTTAAATATCCATGCCAAATACTTTAAGATTGTATGAAGTGTATAAAAGGACAGTTACCATGATCTTATTTAATAGCATATTTTAATAAAACCCTTTACTTTTAAATCAAATAAAGTAAAGGTAGCACGTTTCTTGAAAGGGTGCTCTCGTAATTTCAATAGCTGTAATAGTCGAACTTAGGTGTATGCTACTGCTGTCCTTACTAGTTGAAAGAATGCAAATATTGAAGTTCCATTTTCTGAGGCGGTGGTTAAATAAAGTTTACCAACCAACAACAATGTAAATTGAAGCACATAATACCAAAAAATGAGGTCAAAGTCCTAGAAATTGAATAACACTCATGTTTTGTAAAGAGGCTCTCTCTACGTTAAATATAACACGAATGTATTGAAAAGACTACACGCGCTTTGGTCCGTCAAAGATGGCTAGTAAAGTGGATATGTTCCTATGATGACGCAAATTATATAGGAAAAAAACGGACAACCAAGGAGAGAAATTAACATTGAGCCAATATTGAATAGGGAGAAGAAAGTGTTGATATAATTGGATGACTGCTAGTGTAACGTGGTGAAAATAATGAAGCATTTCATTAAACACGTATATGTAGTCATGAAGTTAAAGGGCCATCACAATGTGATGATAGAAAGTCCTAGAGTGATGGGCTTGGGATAGTGTATAATTAAATCCTTAGTTAAATTAGATCTTAAATTACAATAGGACTGAGCCATGGTATTAAATGGGCTGTTATTTGATATGCACTGAGTATATATATTGATAGTCATCAACATATTTATAAATAAAATAACTCAATCATGAGTAACAACGTATGATCAAAGCCATCAAGAGTCCAGTTCACTGAAAATATTGTCAATTCACGGTACCAAAACGTGATTGAGATCATGGGAAAGTACATTACCTTCATGAAATTCAAACGATAAATACTCTGTGATAGCAAATTTGAAAAGAGTTAGCTGAAAAGTATATTGGTATTTAGAATTGATTTACGAAACGAAATGGGTAGGCACTGGCTGGACTTTGACCTTTTAATACCTTTTGATATAGTTTTTGCGTAAAGAAAAAATAAAGCTTATTGCATTTGCATAAGACTTAGGTTATTATTTAATCTTTCTATCTAATAACCAATAGTTTTTCTCTCTCTCTAAATAACAATTTAAACCACAGATGACCTTCACAACCGCACAAAAACTGAAGGTAACTGTTCATAACTACTTGAATAATAACATCAGGACATTACATCTTTCTCTATACTAAAAAAGCAATTTTTTAATTAAATAAAATGAACGTTTTAAGAATGTCTTCAAAGCGAGGAAATAAATAAAAGTAGTCCAAGATTGGTGAGCAGAATTGTAAAAAGTGAGTTTCAGTTTATGTTGCTAACTTTTATTTTTTATTAATCATTTTGTGGATTAAAAACGTTATAAAATTTCAAATATTCTCTTTAAAAATTTTATTAAGCTGAAAAGATAAAAACAATCGTAAAGATGGGTCATCAGACATCTCAGAAGCCAAAAGAAGGTAAGATATTGAATTTTTCAAATATTAGTGTTTTCCCTGAAAGACGAAAACAAAGAAATAAATACATGACTATTCTCATCTGAGTTCATAGTATATTTTTGAAATTCAAAGTGAACTAGAGATTTAAATATCTGCTTTAAGAGAGATTGAATCTATTGAAGGATTGAAATCCGTTCTTTTATTACCTTTTTTACAACGAATATTCATTAAGCTTTTAATATTTTTTACATAAAAATTTTAAAATTAAAAATTTCTCTAGGGTGCATCTTGAGTGGAATCGAAAAAGGTTAGCAAATATAACAATCTTTTATATATTTTTTTGACCTGAGCCTTTATAATTGAAGATCTGAGTTTTACCCAAAGCACTATAAAATTGATCAAGCTCACAGTATTTAATGGTTCAGTATTTTCTGCAAATATTTGTCCCTAAACTACGTCATATTTTATAGAAAGTCCGTTGAAAGTTAATCTGAACAAAGAATCAAAATCTACGATGGTACAAAGTAATGATTAACGTGTATAGAATTTATTGCCATTGGAATGATTAATTATTAACTTTTTAATTAGCTAATATGATTTAAAGGCATTTAAAGGTATACAATTATAGCCTATTTTATCCCGTATTAAGATTTAAATTCACTATTTTAGCTGATGAACTACCAGAAGTAAAGCCCATTGCCGGAATTGAGAAAGCCATACAAAGTATGTGGAATTTCGTTTGATAACTAAACTTTTATCAAATGATATTTCACATTTAAAATTTACATGTTTTGTTAATTATAGCTGACTTCAGTCAATTTCCTGACCAAATCTCGTGCAAAATGAAATCAGGTTATTATATAATTTGAAATTACCATCATGTAATTTTAATGCGTGTAGTTCAGTCGAAAATCGTAAGAAATAATATTCAATTACTTTCAAATAACAGCTATTCGTGATAATCTTCTGAATCGTGATAATAAGTGAGATAAATTATATAACCTAATTGTTTCAAGTATTGACATTAAAAGTCTTGTGATAAATTAAATATTCGGGACATTTGATTCAATAAAACGTAAAAGTTAATGCATTTATTTCTAGCCCAAATTGTGATTTCTATAATGACAACCAAGCAAATTGACTCTGATGTTAAAAGAATTTCGTTTCCATTAATATAAATAAATTATTCAATAAATTTCATTTCAAGGAAGGTCATTTGTACTAAATTTATTAACTTGATCAGTTTCAGAAGCTGATATCCCCAAAACAGATCTGCAAAAAGACTCCATTAAGCAAGATCAAACTTTCACTATTTCATCAATGCCCTATTGCCCTCCAAGCCCCACTATGGATCATGGTAAGAATCCTAATTAATACAAGTTTTAAAAATAAATATTATTATTATTTTTAAATATTCTGACACATTTTAACTTTAATAGAGAATTCAAGTGAAGATATTATAGAAGGCGAAATATTTCACGACAATTATTCTCAGCTTGGTAAAGGCAAATATTTACTATTTATTTTGTATATTGTCTTATTACCATGAAATTTCAATAATAAAATTTTCCCATATCTAAGGTACTTAAAACTGGAAATTCATGCAAAATTATTAGTCAGACATTACAGTTTAACATTTCTAGATAAGAGAGGAATAGTTGTGATAGTTTTATCTTTCCTTTTAACTAGTCGAAGCAGTATTTGAGTATCCTGTTGTGACGAGTACACAAGACTGCCCGAAACCAGATACCTCATGGCAACGCCATCTGTATTTTCAGCCACTTTCTCCTAATGAGGCTGCATGTGTTTCGACATCAAATGAAGGTAATTACATTTTCACTAATTAATGGTTGTAATTGGCTCTCGCCTTGTCAAAATTTAATTGATAATTAGGAAATAATAACGGGATTAAGCACAGCATTAACTAAGAACAAAAATGCTAATGTAAATTGTCTTGCGTCCTTGTCTAAATATAAAATCACATAACATCTTATAAAAAAATGAATAATGATGTCATTTTCACCAAGTTAAAAAGTTAATATAATTTTAAAATATTAAATGGATCATTGAATTATTTTTCTCATCAACCATTTCTCTGTTAAGAAATGGAAGAAAAATATAATTCTAGTTTCATTAATCTACAAGCATGTTGGCTAGAAAGCAAAATATGCGAATTTTAAGAATCTTTGATCTTATTTTCTAAATTAACCCTAAAGATTTCCGGTACAGAAAATTTTAAACAATCTTTATCACCAATGCAACTCTATTGCATAATTAAAAGTCTTCGTCTTGCAAATATCAGTACAAATAGAATATTTGGAAATTTCTTATCCATTCATTCCATTGTCAATGATATTCCACTTAGTGCTTCCATAGTTTTATGGTATGGTCAACCATTAGATATATGGACGAAGATAACTGAACGATTCTGTCAGCATGCCTCTTAATTATATTTTAAATTTAAGTGTCAAAGGAAACAATAACTATTCAGTTGCTAGGATCCACGAAAGTTTATTTATGGCTCTTCGTATTAAAACCAATAATAAGCGTACTTCAATTAATAAGATGTCAATGAACAGAATGAGATTAATGATATTCCTGAAACCCACATAGCAGCAAATGGTCAGGTAATATTCCTAGGACTTCGCATGAATTTAGT